AGGCTTCCCTCTGGGCCTCCTGTGCTGGAATCTGTGCAGTCTGGAGTGGGGGCCATCGGTGCAATCTATCCTTTCCTTTCTGTTCCCACTGTATAGGTTGGTGGTGTACATGGATGGGCTTGTTAAGGGTATGTTGGGGGACCTTACACAAGCACTCTGTCCCTGCACTGGATCTCACCCAACTGTCCTTCTTTGCCTACTGAGAGCTGTTCCCATCCCCAAAGAGCCAGTGGGCACAGCAGGTTCTCAGTAGCTCCCTCCCAGTTGTATGTGTAGTGCAAACGTCCTCCCAGTGTGTCAGAGAGTGCAGAATAGAAAACAGAGCTCCACACTTGATGGGGCAGACTTCAGGGAATGGGGCACTCTGCCTGCTTGGGCTCAGTGCCTTCATACCCCATCCACCAGTAAACCATTCCATGAGAAGAGGCTGCAGAAACAGTGATCCACTGGACCTGGTCTCAGAGCTTAGTGAGGAGGGCGAGGCCACCAGTCACCAAGCTGTTTACAGCCAGAGCCCACTGCTGTCTAAACTTTTCTGTGTGTCCTTGTCTGACCCTTCCCTTCTCTGCCACAGCCTCTGGCTGTTTCCCACCCAGACCTTGGGGGCAGGGTGTCCTCAGCCTCCCAGACTTTTTTGTTCCTTATATTCAGGTCCTCAGAGCAGTTGTTTCAAACAAGTGTCCACATCCGTTCGAGAAGTTTCCTTGCCACAGCAGTCCAAGTTCTAGGGGGCGATGCAGCAGTTTTCTTCTGCAGTGACTGCCTGCCACGCAATCAGGCACAAGTCTCTGTTCTCGATGTAAGCATGGGGAGCACTGAGGGCTTCTCCTGTGCCTAGGACTGGCAGCCCGTCCTCCCCAGGCTTACTGTGTACTCATGACTGGGCTTCCCTCTAGGGTCCAGGGTGTACTGTTCCCTTTTCCTGGGCCGTCTCCTTCTCCATGCCTTTTAGCTGCCCTGGTACCTGTTTCTTGACTCCCGACATTCCTCCTTTTTCTCTCCTTGGATTAAGTTTCTTCCTCATTACCCTGATTCTTCTCATTCATGGAGCCACATGGGAGAGAGTTCTGATCTGCCATCTTATCCCAGAACTCAAGGGCCCTTGGAATGCTGGCTCTGCTGGGCTTTGAGAGCTTAACAGGGCTTTCAGAACACTGTGAATAGGGATTTCTACTAACACGGTCTTCAGAGTCTTCTCCAGCACCGGACTCCAGGCTGGATAATTCTACCTAGTCAGTAGAGGAATTCTTGTAGGTCATTGATGCATGGCTGTATCAGCTTATGCTCTTTCTCTCTTTTTTTCCCCTTCATTAATTTTTTTGTGGGGCTTTTGGCTATTCCAACATTCCCCCTTCTGAAGAGGTAACCCTAAAATCTTTTAAGGGTTAAATAAAAGCTCCCAAATATTTTTGACGTTTTTGGCCTTTGTAACAGAGTATGTTGCTAAGTGTCCCAAGCGCTCTGTGAGTTTTAGCCAAGAAAATGGCTACTTTTCTTTGTGATAGGTAGAGAGCGGGCGGGAGCGAGTGGCACGGATGGAGGAGGCACCGAGGCACAGATGGAATTCTCAGCAGGATACAGCTTTATTTCACACGGGGCACCTTTCCCTCAGGGAAGGGAAATTGGGTGGGAGCGAGCGGCGCGGATGGAGAGCACAAGTGGCTGGATGAGGCATGGAGGCTCAGATGGAATTCTCAGCGGGATATAGATTTATTTCGCACGGGGCACCTTTCCCTCGGGAAGGGAAAGATGTCGGCTGAGGGAAAGATGTCAGGGAAGGGAAGGGGAAGGGAAGGAAAGGGAAGGGAAGGATGTCCGCTCACGAGTTGTGAGCTGGGACTTTAGATATGGGGGCTTTAGGGTGTGGAATCAGGGAGGGTGAAGCAGGTAGGATTAGGGTGTGGAAGTGTTTACTTTTTCCCTCTTAAGATGAGAGAAAAACAGCTTCTAAAATCTCTGGTTATCAGGTAGAATCTGCTTATCTTTGGAGGTCAAAGGAAAGGCAGGCTGCTTCTCAACAGAGTTTGTTTCCCTTGACTCCAAAGGTCAAGGTGAGGTCCCTGTTGGGGAGGGGGGAAACTGCTGCTCTTTGGAACCCTAACAATTTGGGGTCTTTTTTTTTTTGCCTTTCTGAGACAGGGTTTCCCTGTAGCTCCAGGTGCCTGGAACTCACTCTGTAGACCAGGCTGGCCTCGAACTGACAGAGGATCCTCCTGCCTCTGACTCCTGAGTGCTGGGATTAAAGGCATGTGCCACCATGCCCAGCTCTTTGGGGTCTTTTTACCCTAACTGCCTAGCCAATTCTACCTTCTATTCTTATCACCATCCTCTGAAGAGGTTACTCAAATTGCCGATAGGGAATCAGGATGCAGATCTCTCCAGCTTCTTCCATGTTGAATAGGGATGTAGGGTGAAGCACTTGGGGTACCCCTTCAGTAGGTTTATCTAAAAGACTCCCAAATTGCATAACTCTTATCTGTAGGGGGAAAAGTAAGTCCTTGACTGGCAAATAGGAGATGTGAAGGAGAAGTAAAGTCAAGAGTAATTAGCGTTACAAGTTCTAGACAGGGAACTAGAAAAAAATCAGAATACAGCAAATTTCAGATGTTCATTTGAAAGTCCATTGGAATTTCTTGACAAGGGCTTCCAAAATCATCCCTCTATTGGGTTCCTCATTTTTCTTTTGTCTTCCAAGGCTGGACTCTAGAGTGATAGATTCAGGATTTGCTTTCAGGTATTTTGACAGCTTTTGGAGTGGTTAGAATCAGTGTCAGTTCCCTCTCAAAGGCGTCTAGATGAGGGGAGAAAACAAATTTATCCATCATTTTAGAACAATGGCTGGTTGTCTCCCTTAGCTACAGGTGGGCACTAGAGTACTGGAGATCAAGATTTGAAGTTTTCCATCTGAGCAACACTTTCTGGTTAGGAAGAAAATCATCAATGAGAAATAATTATCTAAATAACTTTTTATTTATACTTAAGCCTAATGTCTGGGAAGTATAATTCCTTGAACTCTTAAAGAAATATGCTGATGACTTTACTCTTTGGTTATAGTCTCCTTTTGGGTGTTTAAGACCATACAGTTGGCCCAAATAAACAAATTTATTTTTACACTTAAGGTCATTTGAGGATCTTTTCCTCAGGGGTCACATGGGCTTGGGAGGAGCTCCTGGTTCCTTTCTTTTACCAGCTCCATCTATGTGAAGATAAGTCAAAGGTCCTGCTTGAATCAGCTTTTTCTTGTTGCTATAACCAAGTACCTGACAACATGTAAATTAAGGGAGGGTTTATTTTGGCTCGCAGTTGGAGAGGATGACAGCCATCAATGAGGGGGAAAGCAGAGTTTAGGGCTGCTGGTCACATTGCACCTATGATTTGAAGGGCTCTATCTTCTAAAGAGTCTACAACCTTCAGATGGAGCGGGATCAGCTAGGGACGAAGTGTTCAAGCATATAAGACTGCGGAGGCCATTTCATAGTCAAACGAGCATCACCTACAACTGAGTCTCATCAATTCTCTTCACATAAAGATTAAGGTTATAAAGCTGGGCATGGTGGTGCTCACCTTTAATCCTAGCACTCAGAAGGCAGGGCAGGTGGATCTCTCAAGAGATCCAGGCTAGTCTGGTCTACATAGCGAGTTTCAGGTCATCTGGGGCTACTGGGAGACCTGTCTCAAACAAAAAACAAGATTATAGTCTAGGCTTTGGCTGAGGCTACTCTAGGTTGCAGAACAAGAAGCAGTTGGCTTATTCAAGTTTGAATTGTGCCTATCTGGGCAATCTTCTCCAAGCATTCTGCATTCATATGCCACAGGCCTGAGACCAGGCATTGTCCCAAGCCACCCTCAATCGGATGCTCTGTAGAGCTCCACAGTGACAGGGCTGTATTAACCCTTCATTTTTCTTTCTGCCTGTAATCATCTGTTCTTTTACGTCTTCTACAAATGGCTTTAGAAAGGAAAGTGTGAGGATCTCTACATCTGCTCTTCGTATCTAAAAGTTCTTTCTCTGCCAAGTAACTGGAAGCAGCCTCCCTCAACTCTAGCATCTGGTACAGTACCTGTCATAAAACCACCACTTTCTGCTCATTCAGTGCCTGAGTGACCAAACAACCAAACTACTTTCCCTTTCCTGAATGAATGCAAATTGTTCTTTTCTTTAAATTTATTTTATTTATTTATTGAATGGACACACCACTAAGCACTTGCTGAAGCCAGAGAACAACTTCCAGGAGTGAATTCTCTCCTTCCACCATATGGGTCCTGGAGATCAAAATCAGATTGTCAGGTTTGATGGCAAGCCCTTTATCACCACTGAGTCAAATTTTTTTCAGCATAGAAATCATTACTATACAATACTCAACTATGGTTCTGAGTTATAGTCACAGATCCCAATCCTTTATCCATTTTTTAAAGGAATGCAATCTTACATGATTTGATCAAATGGATCTTGTCTAAATTTCTCAGCTGTTTTTGTGGATGGGCACATATTTTTCCAGCTTTGTTCTCTGTCAATAGATGACTAGAAGAAGGAATATATCTGTTTTGTTCTGCTTCTGCCACTGGCTTGACTGTAGACAGGACTACTTGCTTACCTTTGGGTAGGTATGCAGATCCTTGAGTAGGATGACAGCCATGTTGGATAACAGAACAACCAGGGTCCTATGTGCTGAGTGAACATGACTCTACGTAGAATTAAAATAAAGACAAGCTCGTCAATTTAAAGATGAGAAACACAAGTTGAATATAGGTATATTAGTCACTTTTCTGTTGCTGTGATAGAAACACTGACCACAGCAATTTATAGAAGAGTTTATTTGAGCTTATGGTTGCAGGGGACTTACAGTCCTTCATGGCAGGGAGGCATGGTGGCTGGAGGTGGCTGAGCAGGAGCAGCAGGAGCTAAACTCTCACATCATCACACAGGCACAGGAAGCAAGAGGGCGATTGGAGATCTGGCAAGGCTTAAGAGCTCTCTAAGCCCACCCCCAGTGATATGCTTCCTCCAGGATACCATACCTTCTAAAACCTCCCAAAACAGTGCCACCATCTGGGGACAAAATGTCCATATCCTGGAGCCTATGGGGGACATTTTCATTCAAACCATCACAACAGGTAAATACAAGTTGGTACTGAAATTGTTATATATTGTCCTTAGCTATTTATAAAAAAAGCCTTACAATAGAATTATCAGTCACAAAAAGAAACAAAATATTGGCCCTACTATTAAATAGATGAAACCTTCAAATCATTATGTGAAGACAGACATAAGACTACATATTTTTATTTCATCTTAGGAAATATCCAGAAAGGCAAATCCACAGGGGTAGAAAACAATGAGCAGGTGCCAACAGTGCTTAGTAGGGATAAATCAGGTGTGAGTGCTTGGTGGGTACAGGGTTTCCTTTTGGGATGAATAAATGTTCTGGAACTAAAAATGATTGTGCACTGTGAACTGATTAGTCACTAGTAGAAATTTAGTTGTGGATGTTACTACATTAAAAAAAATAGGGCCAGGCATGGTGGCACATATATTTAATCCCAGCATGGTCAACATAGTGAGTTCCAGACCAGCCAGGGTTATATAAAGTGAGACCCTGTCTCGAATGAAGAGTTTTTGGCACATAATTTCATAAATTTGAATCCTATTTCTTAAAACAGAAAATTTCCTGGATAATTAATTAAAAATTTAATCAGTGGAATGGTATACTACCTTTAAAAGTATGAATCTAAGCCAGATGTGGTGGCGCATGCCTTTAATCCCAGCACTTGGGAGGCAGAGGCAGGCAGATCTCTGTGAGTTCAAGGCCAGCCTGGTCTTCATAGTGAGTTCAGGACAGCTGGGGCTACAGGTAGACCCTGTCTCAAAAAGACCAAAAAAAAAAAAAAGCATGAATCTGGGCTGGAGTACTAATATAGAAAGATGCCCAAGACATATTTGATGAACGAATAAACACTGAAGGCTTGGTCACATTGTGAAATCCTGTTTCAAAAAGGGGGAGGGGTGGGGTAGATCAGACATAGCTCAGTTGGTAGAGTGCTTGCCCAGCAAGTACAAGACATGCTAGGGGTTCAACCCCTAGCAACACATAATACAAACCAGACATGGAAGTGTACCACAGGCCTGTAATTACTGCACTTGGGGGGCAGAGTCAGGAGGATCCAGAGTTCAAAGTTACGTTCTACTACATAGCAGGTTCGAGGCCAACTTGGGAGGAGTTCATGAAACCTTGTCTTTAAAAAAAAAACCCAA